CTGTAGCAGTTTGCTTGATCGTCAGTTGCCATAAAATAGTTTGCAAATTTTCCTTTTTTTATCTTCTGTCGCTTCTCCCAGGCGTCAAGAAAAATGCAATCAGATCTTTGGTTTTTCAGTGATGCACAAATTTCACCCTAGATCATAGTTATTTTATTTTTTTTCTCTGGTATCTTTAGACTTGCTTCCAATTTTGTTAAGTTCAGTTTCAAATTAGGTGATTGTATCTGCCATCTTGAAAGAAAACATTTACGATGTAGTCCAAAATGACGATGTGTTTCGAGGTTAGAATATTTTATCACGACTATTATAGTACTTGAGATTGCGTCATGATGTCATGATTGCTTCTATTAACTTAATGTTTTAATTGTGTCATTTAACTAATAGCTCATATTTTGATAACGTCTAATTTACCAGCTGAGGCTATAAAGTGTTATATTGCTTATAAATCAAAATAACTTTCTCGTAGTATTATTAAATATATTTAATATAACGTTTCGCCTAATATATTTTTCAAGCTTCAACTCTATTAAAATATTATTCGATGACCTTCATATAAATAATAGTATGTATTAATATAATTATATATATATATAGGTTTGTCTGGCTCACTAGGTGTATCTAGGTCTGCTCTACGATTGTATTGAGCTCTTTTGTTAGTTAGTTGTTACTCGTATCGGGGTTTTTTTATTTGGGCTTCAGACCTGCATCTGTGCGATTTTTTGTCGGCAGAAGTTCATGTTTGTAGCTCTTTCTTTTTTTAAAACCTTTTTTCCCTCGAAATTGATTTGATTAACAAATCAAAATTCGAGGGTTTTTCAAACGAGTCTAGTTATCTATATTTATATATATATATATATATATATATATATATATATATATATATATATATATATATATATGCTTCAAGACGAACAAAAAAGCCTTTGATTACGTTGTTGTTCCTTTGAATTTAATGTTTCTTTTTCTCAGGCTGTTGAATGACGTTCACGAGAAATGGAAGGTTTGTGTGGTAGAATATTCTCAAAGTTTTTGAGTTAATTCAAGAAAAATGCACCAACTGTAAAGCAGACTTTGCGCACATATCTCAACGAGAGACTATGAAAAACAAGTGTTTGTTGTGCCGGTGATAATGACAATTTGCTGCTGAAATGGATGCCACATTCACCTGAATTGTCACTTTGAAATTTTTCTATGGGGATATGTGAAAGGACATGTCTATGTCCCCACTCTTCCAACAAGCCGAGCACAGCTAAACCAGAGAATCACTGAGGCGCTGGTGGATATTTTACACAAGGAGCTTGAGTACCGATTTAGGCGTGTCCTGTCGCATCCTGAGGTGGTGTGCGTGCGTTCGTGTCTGTTTTAGTTTAATGATAATGTCAAAATATAGGATATTTAACTTTGAAGTTATATTGGTTTTATTTTCTAAAAAAACTAATCGTTGGTTTTTTATCGATGTAATTAAATGCCTCGGTAGTCAAATAGTGATTTTTACCATCGTAGAAATGAAATATATCGAGTAGAAGGTAATATGAAAAATTAAAATTGAAATATATATTTATCCGTCTTCTTTCTTAAAATAATACAAGGGAATACAAGCTCATTGCTAATTAAGAGAGATCAAGTAGTGTGACTGAGAATTATATAGATTCCTAGTGTTTGTTTATAAATTATATATATATATATATATATATATATATATATATATATATATATATATATATATATATGTGTGTGTGTGTGTGTGTGTGTGTGTGTGTGTGCGTGCGTGTGTTTGTGTGTGTCATCTGTACTGAAATGGATTATTCTAAGATTGACTTTCATGTCAGTGCTATCTTCGGAGATTAATAACATTTCAATACATATCTTATGTAATATATTTCTATATCTTTATATCATACCATCTCTCTCTTTCTCAGTATATATATATATATATATATATATATATATATATATATAACTATCTCAAAAAATCCGCTAAAAAGAGCATACATAGATGAAAATTGTCCAAATATTTTATCAATATATTTATGTTATTATTAAAAAGAAAGACCAGAACGTATTTTTATTATTATTATTTTTTTAATATTTTAATCCTTTCTTGCACTTTTGTAATTTTCTTAAAAAAAAATCTTGTTTTTTTGGCAGCAGCCAGTGGGGCAAAGTTTAGTTTGGGAAATTTAGAGTCTTTTTTGCGGTAAAAAAAAAAAAACATTGTTTTGAAAATTCTTGCAAAATCAATAATTTTCTTATTTTAATGATATTTTCACGACTTATTCACAAATGAATGATATTTTTTTTTTCTTAGAAAATAGTGGTACAAATATTGTTTTGTTACATCTGGTAACCCCTACTTACTTGTAAATCACCAGTTTGTTTTTGACAAACAGAAACACAATTTGCCGAAAATCTGCTTATAATCGAAAAATTAAAAATGAATATATCTGATATTATTTAATCACAAAATCTTTTAATTGATTTCATAAATAAGAAATATTAAGCACAATATTGTCATGAGAATTTTCTTTGATGGACAATGGATTTTTATAAAAGTTATTGTTTTTTTAAAGATTGTAATTAGAATAATTTATTAAGTTTTTAATCATTTAACATCCTGTATTTTTTTCAACTTGACATAATTATTAAGTAAAAAAACTATATTTATATGGAACTGCTTAGTACAAAACATCAAATGTGAGAGCGAGAGCGGAAAATTAATTTTGATAATCTTGCGAACAAGGAAATCTCAAAAAACATTGTGGTCTTATTGAATCGTCTTCTCCTAAAATTGCAAGACAATTTATGTTTTATAGCGATCTAATCAAGGCATAACCTCGCAGTATGTAACAATATCCGAGGAAAAAAATACGCATTATATTTAAAATATACAAGACAATATCTGTTCTAATTTGTTTATGTTATTTTCTTTAATGTTTAGCTATGGAGTTACATTGCCAATTCAACTGCCCAAACAGCCGACACACAGGTAGACAAGCTATTATCGTTACGGAAATGTTAGGTGAGCAGTTTCAAACCATAACTTTTTGAACGCTTTAATTTAGTATTATTGCTTTTTAGAAAAAGAAATCCAAAGCATTATCTTTCTCAAGAATTCTTGGCAATTCACATATATTTGAGTTATCTTTAGAAAAAGCTGCTCGGCTACATCTTAGAAGGGTATCTTAATTAAGAAATGACAGAAGCATTTATATTACATGGATATTTCTGTTTTTATATAAACTCATTTCCTTTCAATTAGTTTAATTGTGTTGTGTTTGCTATACATCTATATATATATATATATATATATATATATATATATATATTGAACATTATAGATGGAAAATTATAGATCAAAACCCAGTTTATAAATGAAAAATTTCATTCATCAATCTACATGGCCGTAAAATTAAATATAGGCCAATATTGTAGTATACAATCTGCTCATTACTAATCATGCCTGAATAGAGTTTTCAATCACCATTCTTGAAAGAAACGAGCGTAGATATGATCTAACGGATGCCCTCAGATTCGAATCGAGATCGGGAATTCATTCACAGTTAGACCCTGGTATGTGAAAACGAGATCAACTTTAACGTGCGAAAAAAAAATGACATATAAAACACCTACCAGGAGATTTTATGACATAAAAAAGAATATTTGGGGTGCACGTTGAAGAAAGGCCCCAAAGTCCTGCGACGGTTATTGTCGAAGTCTGGAGTCGAATAAACCATACATTTTTACGCATGAGAGATGTCGCTTCGTGTGTCAGTAGCCGGTACTATGGTAATATTATGGATCACTTGTATAACAATGGTAATATTAGGGATCACTTTGCTTTGCAAACATAGCCTCTTCCCAAAATTCTAACTAAGGGATTAGTGGAAGTGTGGCTTTTTCCCAGTTACCTGAAAGAAAACCTAAAAATAAATCAACGACAAAGGAATAAAGTTACTGTAACTCCGTTTGTAAAGAACTATTCACAGATGCAATTAATGACAAATATGAAGATTTTAGATATTCCAGTGTGTTAAAGTAGTACAATCAATACAGAGAAAGGGAGAGAGAGACAGAGATAGATAGATAGATAGATAGAAAGAAGAGAGAGGGAAAATCAAGATAGAAAAGAGAGAGGGAAAACAAGATTGATAGGAAAGAGAGGTAGAAAGCATGATAGATACGAAAAGCGAGAAAGCAAGATTGATAGAAAAAGAGAAAAGCAAGATAGTTATAGAGAATGAGAAGGCAATATAGACACAAAAAAAAAAATCTACAAAGATATATATATATATATATATATATATATATATATATATATATATATATATATATATATATGAGATTGAGAGAATGAGAAATATATATGAAAAGAGACAACTATGGAGATATATGTGAAAGAGAAAATCTGTAAAAGAGAGAGAGAGAGAGATAACGAGAGTGAGCAAGAGAGATACCGGGAGAGATAGAAATACATTTTCATAGAGATAGAGGAAGTGTAGACAGAGGGATATAGAGAAATAGATAGACGGAAAGAGAAGAAGGAAAGAAAGTGAAGAAAAATATGGAAATGAGAGAAATATCAAGAGAGAAAGAAAAATAGAAAAGAAGGAAAAAAGATAAAAAAAGATATACAGAGTGTAGAATATTGGTTAGCTTACCAGTGGTGTGACACAGAAGTAGGCAAGGGAAGCCAAAGCTAAACTGACTTGAGTCATTTAACGGAGAGATATATGGGTGAATAAAGACCACTCATGCAAATGTATTGCGCAGGTCCATTCTAGCAAAATGGACCAACCTGACTGGTGTATTAGGCACTCTCCTATAAAATGAGGTAAAATCAGCTGGCTTGCTTTTCAAGCAAACAGAAGAAGGCAGCCATGTTGGCAGGTAAGTCATTTGACTTCTCTAAGATCTAAAGAAAGAGATGTAGAGAAAGATATGTAGAGAAATAGAGGAAGGCGAGAAATAGAGTCGAGAATGTGAGAGATAGTGTCGAATTATAGAGAGGGAGGCGAGTGATAGATAGAAGAGACGAGAAAGAAAAAGAGACGAGTGATAGAAAGAAGAGGGGCGATATAGAAACAGAGAGCAAATAAGCGAGACAGAGAGAGAGAGAGAGAGAACTGAATAAGCGAGACACAGAGTGTGGGGGAACAAGCAAGTTTGTGAGCGGGGACACGCGAGACAGAGAACTGGCGGGACGTAGAGAGAAAACAAGCGTTACAAAGAGAGAGAGAGAGAGGGACAGACAGACAGAGATATATAGAGACAGAGAGAGGGAACAAGGGGGACACAGAGAGAGAACACACGAGAGAGAGAGAGAACAAGCGGAACAGTGACAAACAGAGAACAAGCGGAATAGAGAGAGAGAACAAGCGGGACAGAGAGACAGGACAAGCGGGACAGAGAGACAGGACAAGTGGGAGAGAGAGACAGACAGGACAAACGGGATAGATACAGAGAGAGGACAAGCCTGATAGAGAGCGAGAAGGAGCAAGAAAGGGAAGAAACGAAAGAGAGAGACAGAGACACGCGAAACAGAGAGGAAGAAGACAAGCGAAACAGGGAGAAAGAGGACAATTGAGACAGTGGAAGTGAGAACTGGTGAGGCAGAGGAAGTGTGAGCGTGAGAGACAGAGAACAAGAACAATCGTGTGAGGAGAACAAGCGTGACACAGAGAAAGACACGGGGAGAAAATCAATCCCAACACACAGAAAGAAAACAAATTATAGAGGGTGGGACAGATTATCAGCAAGGCACCAAAAAGAAAACAAGCGTGATACCGAGAGAAAAAATCATGAAAAAGAGTGAGAACAAGTGTGGCAGAGAGAGAGAGAGAGAGAGAGAGAGAGAGAGAGAAAGAGAGAGAGAGAAAGTGGAACACACCTATTCTATAGTTAATAGACTCTCCCACCTATAATAAGTAGGAGTCGCTCAGTCAGATTATGCCGGATGACCGTTAGTCAAATACTAAAGTATCAGCGACCACAACTAGATTATTCTGCGTTATACCTGTTATATCAAGTCCCTAACGTTTTGTACGTCGAACCTATATTAGAGCCGACTTAATACAAATACAAGCCTCCACTGTGAAATCACTCCACAACAGAAAGAAACAGAGAGAACACTCTTAACCATGAAAACGAAATCGACATAGAGTAACCGAGAGAGAAAATCGAGATACAGAGATGGAAAAAGAGGCATATATATATATATATATATATATATATATATATATATATATATATATATATATTGTGTGTATTTAGGCAGCATATTTTCATTAATACACGTTTCATTAAATAATATAGACAAGTATTGTCTTTTTTATTATATATATATATATATATATATATATATATATATATATATATATATATAACAGAAAGAGATAGATATAAAGGAGAAATAGAGATGGAGAAGAATAGGCTAATAAAATGTTCATAATATTACGTTTGACGAAAACATCAGAACGTAAAGATAATAATGAGTCATCGAAAAATATTCATATGTCGTAATCATATCGTACGACATACAGCACATACAAATAGCTAAGATAAAAGCAAACGTGTTTTTCGACAGGTAACATAATATAAACTTAAAAGAAATGTAGTGGAAAAAGAAGAAAAAAGACCTATTGTAGGTTTTGCAATAAATAAATAACAGTTGTCAGCCTTGAGAAATGAGAAGAAAGCCGTACCTACACATAATCTTGATAGGTGACGAGACATTAAGTTCTGAGTTGAGTATTGCATTGGCCATGATAGGAATAACAAGAAAGGACAAGGCCAGTCTCTCATAGTGATAGTGAGAGTTGGAAAGAGTATTAAATTGGTAGTTTAAAGGAAGTGAGAAAGGAAACATATGCCCGTGGCCAAGTGTCAGGTTATCACTCCTCATCTATTGGCAAAAGAAACCAGATGCAAATAAAAGAAAATCTATTGAAAAAAAAGAACGTGACATACCATATAATAAAAGTAATAATGTTGGTATCAATGTAGAGTTCTTGTATCCGAAGTTTCACTGTGATTATTTGAACTATGTAGCTTCGTTGAAAATGTTGTCTAAACGAATTTATATATATATATATATATATATATGTGTGTGTGTGTGTGTGTGTGTGTGTGTGTGTGTGTGTGCTGGGCTAATATCACATTAAGAAAAAGTACAAATGAAATGTCTTTCCCTTACCTGATTTTCTACACAATAACCCCTGCTAGCATGCATAGATGTAAAACGAAAGACACACTCCAATGTGACCCTCAATTATCATTTACGATAGGTGAGTCCGCTCTCTCACTCTCTCTCTCTCTCTCTTTATATATATATATATATATATATATATATATATATATACGTGTTTGTGTGTATGTTTGTGTGTGTGTATATATATATATATATATATATAAATTTTAATTTTATTATATAGACAAAACCATTTTACTCACTACAAAGTTTCAACTTCGTTTCAGTGCATTTCAACTGCACTTCGACGGGTGAGAATCGAAAATGTTTATGAACAATTCTCCTTGTAGGCAAGCCGTATGTGAAACGTCACTTCCTTTTTTTTTTTCATTTGCTTGAGAAGAAAAAAATCCATTAAAAAAAAAGTGGTGACGGAGTGAGACAATAGTGCTTGTTGACTGCAGTTTGTTGAAGAATGGATTGTGTGTATAATGTTGACTGGTCTGTGGAAATTTTTTTGGGGCGATAAACATCGGTCAAAAATGTAGACACATCATCTCATAAGCGTCCTAAAGGTGAGAGGTAGGGGAGGAAAGATGGGGATAAGGGATAGTATTACCTTTGAGCAGGTAAAAGTTGTAGCGATACTTCTAGTAGTAATTGGGAATGTTATTTTGGTTTACTATAATAATTCTAGAGTTGAATTGCATGTATTTATGTTGGGGTTATCACTACTAATTCTGTAATCAATGAACGTGTTTTGTGGATTACAATTTAAAAAGTGGTGATTTTCTCTAAAAAATTAATAAGGGATGTTAATATAACTTTTTATAATCAAATTTTGAAATATTCCTGGACCGCGTAGCTGTAAAAATAAGTATGGGTTTAAAGCGATTTATCTCGAAATATTACCAGTAAATTATATATATATATATAAAAATAAGAATCATAATTTAATTAATGGAGTGGCACATAAGAGGGTAGGGAATATATCGAAGGAAGTGATTTAGAATTTGAAAACGTTTATAGCTATGGAATTAAGAATTTAACAAGATTGTAGTAGTGGATCCTTAGTATGTCAACAGAAAACGGTTGTTTCATATCTTTGATTTAATAATTTGGTGTTATTCAATAGTTCAATTATACATATTTTCTCCTGTAGACATAAGAATTGCAGGTTCTGGCTTGTCATAAGAATTTCCATTTAAACTTAGTTGTTTTCCCTTCTTCCTTGAGTTTCCAAAAATATTTCGAAAGTGATGTCCTATTTCGTTTGACCGTATTTGTAAAGGAGTTCATGTGATTGTATTACCTATCCTTAAAAGGTCTGCTAGTTGACCCCGCATGCAGCTTAATATCTCTGGGGTTATCATTTGATGAGATATAGCACATATACACTATGGATATGGTTAAGCACCTGTTTAATAATGGACATTGATCAGTGATTCTACAATTACATACTCTTTTTTTTCCTGGGGTGTATTAGAACTTGTATTTAGGTTGAATTTATTATCTCTATGAATTTTCAGTATTCTATTGTTATGCGATTTAATAATTTTATCTCGATTTCTAAAACAGCTAGAGCTAATTATTAAGGTATTGGGGTTGAAGATATGCTTAATTAACTCTCCATAGGGAAGTGCTTGTTAATTAGATTTAAGAATTTGTGTCCTAATTATTTATTATCTATTGATTTTTTTTTTTTTAGAATAACTACAATTTTCTCAATATTTAATTTCGGAAAATCTGTAACCACTATCGGTAAGGATTTTCTTATAGATAATTTTGTGTTTATCGTATACTAGCAACATGGCCCGGCGTTGCCCGTGCCTGATTCAAAAATCGTACGACTCATACAGCAATCGCTATCACTTGACTTAAAATATTTTTGCCCTTCCTTGCCTTTAAAGGTGTGCCCTTTGCCGTGCTGATGTTGCTACATGCCTTACCTCTTGCCTATCTCACACTGCGAATTTTTTCTAAGCTCTATACTAAACATTAAATCTGTTACGAAAAAAGAACTAAACAAAACGAACACAAAACGATCAGCTTTAAAAAAGGACTCGTAACTGGAAAAACGGAATGAAAAAAGAATGTTAACAACAAATACTTTTTCACACCAAAACCAGTTCTGCAGAATCAGAATCAACGTTCAGTTTAAGCAAACGAATGAGCCAATTGGAGTAAAAAGTGCCATGCAGATTTAATTTTTCCCACTTGAGAAGAATGCAGCTATCGATTCTTTTGCATGATAGCATGTCAGTTAACATTCGTGTCATTCAGCTATTGGCTCACACGCTAGCCAATAGAATGTTCCTGCCTATTCGTGGCAGCCAGCTATTGGCTCTCAATCTGGCCAGTACAAAATGGCCGCAAACTACATAAAACTGCCGTAGAAGCATGAAAAGAATCGATTATTTCCACTATCAATGGGAGTTGGGAAATGCAATGTCGGTCTTGGCCTTAATGCTAACTTGGAGCATGTGCATGTACATTTTGTGCAAATCCATCGAAAATTGCGACCGTGCATTCGTTACACACACACGCATATCCTGCCTTTTATAGATAGAGATTTCTTGCTAAATGAGAGCTTGTTTATACGGCGTTCAACGGATGATGGGATATGTAATAACTGGCGTTGGTTGATTGGAATCCGGGTTTATATAAATGGGATTAGCGTTATTTTCAAGAATGATTGGAAGTTATTTAAGGTTAAGTTTAAGGTTACATCTAAGAAGTTTACTTTCTTATGTTAGAATTAATTTTAACCTTGAGGTATATAGATTTAAACACTCTGTGAATCCATTTCCTCAATTTGTCAACTTTGCTTCCGGTAGAATTATTCATTACCATCAAACCATTGTCTCTATAAATCCCTATATTATTTAGACTAATTTCATTGTGAACTGTGATATTGTATAGAATAAACAGTCCGACCAATCCAATGATTCAGCAGAATCCAGCGATCCCATCGATACATCAATGTTTTCAACAGATTTTTTTTATCCATTGTTCGTTGTTGTGTATCATAATTGATTTCATTTAGGAAATAGCCATTTTGTTTGTCTTATCAAGTGAAGGTGTTGAATGTAGAATAAAGAGTTTCAAAAGGTTTAAATCTACCAAACACCACTAGAGAGGGGAAAGGCTGTTACATAAGCTCCAATGACCAATCAAAATACAAGTACATGGAATTAAAATATCTTGACAACGAACACTTTTATAATAATTAATAACTTAATATTAGGTTGGACTAATAAAAATCATTCTAATTAAAATTAATCTTTTTACTTTATTAAATTTAATCTGTATTAACTTTAAAATATAAAATATTTCAAGTAGAATCTTAGGAAAACATACATATATTGTGTTATTTGATTTGTTTTAAGTGAAAGGCGAAAGAACTCAGAATAAACACTAAAATTTAATGTGGATCTAAAACTTCGTTACAACTTTTGAAAGTGGTGATATGGGCATGGGAGGAAGAAATCTTGTAAAAAAATATATATATATATATATATATATATATATATATATATATATATATATATATATACCTAGTAGTGTTTCAAACCTACCTAGGTTTCACCTAAACGGATCGTCAGGGAAAGTTTAGGTGAAACCTAAATGAAATTTAATCTATCTCTAAATCATCTAGGTCTGCCCTACGGTTTGTATTGAGCTCTTTTGTTAGTTAGTTGTTACTCGTATCAGGGTTTTTTTCTTTGGGCTTCAGACCTGCATCTGCGCGATTTTTTGTCGGCAGAAGTCCATGTTTGTAGCTCTTTCTTTTTTTAAACCTTTTTTTCCTCGAGATTGATTTGATTAACAAATCAAAAATTCGAGGTTTTTCAAACGAGTCTAGTTATCTATATATATATATATATATATATATATATATATATATATATATATATATATATATATATATATATGAAGACGAACAAAAAAAAGCCTTTGATTACGTTGTTGTTCCTTTGAATTTAATGTTTCTTTTTCTCAGGCTGTTGAATGACGTTCACGAGAAATGGAAGGTTTGTGTGGTAGAATATTCTCAAAAGTTTTTGAGTTAATTCAAGAAAAATGCACCAACTGTAAAGCAGACTTTGCGCACATATCTCAACGAGAGACTATGAAAAACAAGTGTTTGTTGTGCCGGTGATAATGACAATTTGCTGCTGAAATGGATGCCACATTCACCTGAATTGTCACTTTGAAATTTTCTATGGGGATATGTGAAAGGACATGTCTATGTCCCCACTCTTCCAACAAGCCGAGCACAGCTAAACCAGAGAATCACTGAGGCGCTGGTGGATATTTTACACAAGGAGCTTGAGTACCGATTTAGGCGTGTCCTGTCGCATCCTGAGGTGGTGTGCGTGCGTTCGTGTCTGTTTTAGTTTAATGATAATGTCAAAATATAGGATATTTAACTTTGAAGTTATATTGGTTTTATTTTCTAAAAACTAATCGTTGGTTTTTATCGATGTAATTAAATGCCTCGGTAGTCAAATAGTGATTTTTACCATCGTAGAAATGAAATATATCGAGTAGAAGGTAATATGAAAAATTAAAATTGAAATATATATTTATCCGTCTTCTTTCTTAAAATAATACAAAGGGAATACAAGCTCATTGCTAATTAAGAGATCAAGTAGTGTGACTGAGAATTATATAGATTCCTAGTGTTTGTTTATAAATTATATATATATATATATATATATATATATATATATATATATATATATATATATATGTGTGTGTGTGTGTGTGTGTGCGTGTGTGTGTGTGCGTGTGTGTTTGTGTGTGTGTCATCTGTACTGAAATGGATTATTCTAAGATTGACTTTCATGTCAGTGCTATCTGCGGGAGATTAATAAAATTACAATACATATCTTATGTAATATATTTCTATATCTTTTATATCATACCATCTCTCTCTTTCTCAGTATATATATATATATATATATATATATATATATATATATATAACTATCTCAAAAATCCGCTAAAAAGAGCATACATAGATGAAAATTGTCCAAATATTTTATCAATATATTTATGTTATTATTAAAAGAAAGACCAGAACGTATTTTTATTATTATTATTTTTTAATATTTTAATCCTTTCTTGCACTTTTGTAATTTTCTTAAAAAAAATCTTGTTTTTTTTGGCAGCAGCCAGTGGGGCAAAGTTTAGTTTGGGAAATTTAGAGTCTTTTTGCGGTAAAAAAAAAAACATTGTTTTGAAAATTCTTGCAAAATCAATAATTTTCTTATTTTAATGATATTTTCACGACTTATTCACAAATGAATGATATTTTTTTTCTTAGAAAATAGTGGTACAAATATTGTTTTGTTACATCTGGTAACCCCTACTTACTTGTAAATCACCAGTTTGTTTTGACAAACAGAAACACAATTGCCGAAAATCTGCTTATAATCGAAAATTAAAATGAATATATCTGATATTATTTAATCACAAAATCTTTTAATTGATTTCATAAATAAGAAATATTAAGCACAATATTGTCATGAGAATTTTCTTTGATGGACAATGGATTTTTATAAAAGTTATTGTTTTTTTAAAGATTGTAATTAGAATAATTTATTAAGTTTTTAATCATTTAACATCCTGTATTTTTTTCAACTTGACATAATTATTAAGTAAAAACTATATTTATATGGAACTGCTTAGTACAAAACATCAAATGTGAGAGCGAGAGCGGAAAATTAATTTTGATAATCTTGCGAACAAGGAAATCTCAAAACATTGTGGTCTTATTGAATCGTCTTCTCCTAAAATTGCAAGACAATTTATGTTTTATAGCGATCTAATCAAGGCATAACCTCGCAGTATGTAACAATATCCGAGGAAAAAAATACGCATTATATTTAAAATATACAAGACAATATCTGTTCTAATTTGTTTATGTTATTTTCTTTAATGTTTAGCTATGGAGTTACATTGCCAATTCAACTGCCCAAACAGCCGACACACAGGTAGACAAGCTATTATCGTTACGGAAATGTTAGGTGAGCAGTTTCAAACCATAACTTTTGAACGCTTTAATTTAGTATTATTGCTTTTTAGAAAAAGAAATCCAAAGCATTATCTTTCTCAAGAATTCTTGGCAATTCATATATTTGAGTTATCTTTAGAAAAAAGCTGCTCAACTACATCTTAGAAGGTATCTTAATTAAGAAATGACAGAAGCATTTATATTACATGGATATTTCTGTTTTTATATAAACTCATTTCCTTTCAATTAGTTTAATTGTGTTGTGTTTGCTATACATCTATATATATATATATATATATATATATATATATATATATATATATATATATATTGAACATTATAGATGGAAAATTATAGATCAAAACCCAGTTTATAAATGAAAAATTTCATTCATCAATCTACATGGCCGTAAAATTAAATATAGGCCAATATTGTAGTATACAATCTGCTCATTACTAATCATGCCTGAATAGAGTTTTTCAATCACCATTCTTGAAAGAAACGAGCGTAGATATGATCTAACGGATGCCCTCAGATTCGAATCGAGATCAGGAATTCATTCACAGTTAGACCCTGGTATGTGAAAACGAGATCAACTTTAACGTGCGAAAAAAAAAATGATATAAAACACCTACCAGGAGATTTTATGACATAAAAAAAAAAAAAGAATATTTAGGGTGCACGTTGAAGAAAGGCCCCAAAGAATCCTGCGACGGTTATTGTCGAAGTCTGGAGTCGAATAAACCATACATTTTACGCATGAGAGATGTCGCTTCGTGTGTCAGTAGCCGGTACTATGGTAATATTATGGATCACTTGTATAACAATGGTAATATTAGGGATCACTTTGCTTTGCAAACATAGCCTCTTCCCAAAATTCTAACTAAGGGATTAGTGGAAGTGTGGCTTTTTCCCAGTTACCTGAAAGAAAACCTAAAAATAAATCAACGACAAAGGAATAAAGTTACTGTAACTCCGTTTGTAAAGAACTATTCACAGATGCAATTAATGACAAATATGAAGATTTTAGATATTCCAGTGTGTTAAAGTAGTACAATCAATACAGAGAAAGGGAGAGAGAGACAGAGATAGATAGATAGATAGATAGATAGATAGATAGATAGATAGATAGAAAGAAGAGAGAGGGAAAATCAAGATAGAAAAGAGAGAGGGAAAACAAGATTGATAGGAAAGAGAGGTAGAAAGCATGATAGATACGAAAAGCGAGAAAGCAAGATTGATAGAAAAAGAGAGAAAGCAAGATAGTTATAGAGAATGAGAAGGCAATATAGACACAAAAAAAAAAAAAAAATCTACAAAGATATATATATATATATATATATATATATATATATATATATATATATGAGATTGAGAGAATGAGAAATATATATGAGAAAGAGACAACTATGGAGATATATGTGAAAGAGAAAATCTGTAAAAGAGAAGAGAGAGAGAGAGAGAGATAACGAGAGTGAGCAAGAGAGATACCGGGAGAGATAGAGAAATACATTTTCATAGAGATAGAGGAAGTGTAGACAGAGGGATATAGAGAAATAGATAGACGGAAAGAGAGAGAAGGAAAGAAAGTGAAGAAAATATGGAAATGAGAGAAATATCAAGAGAGAAAGAAAAATAGAAAGAAGGAGAAAAAGATAAAAAAAAGATATACAGAGTGTAGAATATTGGTTAGCTTACCAGTGGTGTGACACAGAAGTAGACAAGGGAAGCCAAAGCTAAACTGACTTGAGTCATTTAACGGAGAGATATATGGGTGAATAAAGACCACTCATGCAAATGTATTGCGCAGGTCCATTCTAGCAAAATGGACCAACCTGACTGGTGTATTAGGCACTCTCCTATAAAATGAGGTAAAATCAGCTGGCTTGCTTTTCAAGCAAACAGAAGAAGGCAGCCATGTTGGCAGGTAAGTCATTTGACTTCTCTAAGATCTAAAGAAAGAGATGTAGAGAAAGATATGTAGAGAAATAGAGGAAGGCGAGAAATAGAGTCGAGAATGTGAGAGATAGTGTCGAATTATAGAGAGGGAGGCGAGTGATAGATAGAAGAGACGAGAAAGAAAAAGAGACGAGTGATAGAAAGAAGAGGGGCGATATAGAAACAGAGAGCAAATAAGCGAGACAGAGAGAGAGAGAGAGAGAGAGAGAAGTGAATAAGCGAGACACAGAGTGTGGGGGAACAAGCAAGTTTGTGAGCGGGGACACGCGAGACAGAGAACTGGCGGGACGTAGAGAAAAAAAGCGTTACAAAGAGAGAGAGAGAGGGGACAGACAGACAGAGATATATAGAGACAGAGAGAGGGAACAAGGGGGACACAGAGAGAAACACACGAGAGAGAGAGAACAAGCGGAACAGTGACAAACAGAGAACAAGCGGAATAGAGAGAGAAACAAGCGGGACAGAGAGACAGGACAAGCGGGACAGAGAGACAGGACAAGTGGGAGAGAGAGAGACAGACAGGACAAACAGGATAGATACAGAGAGAGACAAGCCTGATAGAGAGCGAGAAGGAGCAAGAAAGGGAAGAAACGAAAGAGAGAGACAGAGACACGCAAACAGAGAGGAAGAAGACAAGCAAAACAGGGAGAAAGAGGACAATTGAGACAGTGGAAGTGAGAACTGGTGAGGCAGAGGAAGTGTGAGCGTGAGAGACAGAGAACAAGAACAATCGTGTGAGGAGAACAAGCGTGACACAGAGAAAGACACGGGGGAGAAAATCAATCCCAACACACAGAAAGAAAACAAATTATAGAGGGTGGGACAGATTATCAGCAAGGCACCAAAAGAAAACAAGCGTGATACCGAGAGAGAAAAATCATGAAAAAAGAGTGAGAACAAGTGTGGCAGAGAGAGAGAGAGAGAGAGAGAGAGAGAGAGAGAAGAGAGAGAGAGAAAGTGTTATAGTGGAACACACCTATTCTATAGTTAATAGACTCTCCCACCTATAATAAGTAGGAGTCGCTCAGTCAGATTATGCCGGATGACCGTTAGTCAAATACTAAAGTATCAGCGACCACAACTAGATTATTCTGCGTTATACCTGTTATATCAAGTCCCTAACGTTTTGTACGTCGAACCTATTTTAGAGCCGACTTAATACAAATACAAGCCTCCACTGTGAAATCACTCCACAACAGAAAGAAACAGAGAGAACACTCTTAACCATGAAAACGAAATCGACATAGAGTAACCGAGAGAGAAAAATCGAGATACAGAGATGGAAAAAAGAGGCATATATATATATATATATATATATATATATATATATATATATATATATATATATATATATATTGTGTGTGTATTTAGGGCATATTTTCATTAATACACGTTTCATTAAATAATATAGACAAGTATTGTCTTTTTATTATATATATATATATATATATATATATATATAAACAGAAAGAGATAGAGATAAAGGAGAAATAGAGATGGAGAAGAATAGGCTAATAAAATGTTCATAATATTACGTTTGACGAAAACATCAGAACGTAAAGATAATAATGAGTCATCGAAAAATATTCATATGTCGTAATCATATCGTACGACATACAGCACATACAAATAGCTAAGATAAAAGCAAACGTGTTTTTCGACAGGTAACATAATATAAACTTAAAAGAAATGTAGTGGAAAAGAAGAAAAAAGACCTATTGTAGGTTTGCAATAAATAAATAACAGTTGTCAGCCTTGAGAAATGAGAAGAAAGCCGTACCTACACATAATCTTGATAGGTGACGAGACATTAAGTTCTGAGTTGAGTATTGCATTGGCCATGATAGGAATAACAAGAAAAGGACAAGGCCAGTCTGTCATAGTGATAGTGAGAGTTGGAAAGAGTATTAAATTGGTAGTTTAAAGGAAGTGAGAAAGGAAACATATGCCCGTGGCCAAGTGTCGGGTTATCACTCCTCATCTATTGGCAAAAGAAACCAGATGCAAATAAAAGAGAAATCTATTGAAAAAAGAACGTGACATACCATATTATAAAAGTAATAATGTTGGTATCAATGTAGAGTTCTTGTATCCGAAGTTTCACTGTGATTATTTGAACTATGTAGCTTCGTTGAAAATGTTGTCTAAACGAAGAATTTATATATATATATATATATATATATATGTGTGTGTGTGTGTGTGTGTGTGTGTGTGTGTGTGTGTGTGTGTGTGTGCTGGGCTAATATCACACTTAAGAAAGTACAAATGAAATGTCTTTCCCTTACCTGATTTTCTACACAATAACCTGCTAGCATGCATAGATGTAAAACGAAAGACACACCCAATGTGACCCTCAATTATCATTTACGATAGTGAGTCCGCTCTCTCTCTCTCTCTCTCTTTTTCTATATATATATATATATATATATATATATATATATACGTGTTTGTGTGTATGTTTGTGTGTGTGTATATATATATATATATATATAAAATTTTAATTTTATTATATAGACAAAACCATTTTACTCACTACAAAGTTTCAACTTCGTTTCAGTGCATTTCAACTGCACTTCGACGGGTGAGAATCGAAAATGTTTATGAACAATTCTCCTTGTAGGCAAGCCGTATGTGAAACGTCACTTCCTTTTTTTTTTCATTTGCTTGAGAAGAAAAATATCCATTAAAAAAAGTGGTGACGGAGTGAGACAATAGTGCTTGTTGACTGCAGTTTGTTGAAGAATGGATTGTGTGTATAATGTTGACTGGTCTGTGGAAATTTTTTGGGGCGATAAACATCGGTCAAAAAATGTAGACACATCATCTCGCAAGCGTCCTAAAGGTGAGAGGTAGGGGAGGAAAGATGGGGATAAGGGATAGTATTACCTTTGAGCAGGTAAAAGTTGTAGCGATACTTCTAGTAGTAATTGGGAATGTTATTTTTGGTTTACTATAATAATTCTAGAGTTGAATTGCATGTATTTATGTTGGGGTTATCACTACTAATTCTGTAATCAATGAACGTGTTTTGTGGATTACAATTTAAAAGTGGTGATTTTCTCTAAAAAATTAATAAGGGATGTTAATATAACTTTTTATAATCAAATTTTGAAATATTCCTGGACCGCGTAGCGTGTAAAATAAGTATGGGTTTAAAGCGATTTATCTCGAAATATTACCAGTAAATTATATATATATATATAAAAATAAGAATCATAATTTAATTAATGGAGTGGCACATAAGAGGGTAGGGAATATATCGAAGGAAGTGATTTAGAATTTGAAAACGTTTATAGCTATGGAATTAAGAATTTAACAAGATTGTAGTAGTGGATCCTTAGTATGTCAACAGAAAACGGTTGTTTCATATCTTTGATTTAATAATTTGGTGTTATTCAATAGTTCAATTATACATATTTTCTCCTGTGAACATAAGAATTGCAGGTTCTGGCTTGTCATAAGAATTTCCATTTAAACTTAGTTGTTTTCCTTCTTCCTTGAGTTTCCAAAAATATTTCGAAAGTGATGTCCTATTTCGTTTGACCGTATTTGTAAAGGAGTTCATGTGATTGTATTACCTATCCTTAAAAGGTCTGCTAGTTGACCCCGCATGCAGCTTAATATCTCTGGGGTTATCATTTGATGAGATATAGCACATATACACTATGGATATGGTTAAGCACCTGTTTAATAATGGACATTGATCAGTGATTCTACAATTACATACACTTTTTTTCCTGGGGTGTATTAGAACTTGTATTTAGGTTGAATTTATTATCTCTATGAATTTTCAGTATTCTATTGTTATGCGATTTAATAATTTTATCTCGATTTCTAAAACAGCTAGAGCTAATTATTAAGGTATTGGGGTTGAAGATATGCTTAATTAACTCTCCATAGGGAAGTGCTTGTTAATTAGATTTAAGAATTTGTGTCCTAATTATTTATTATCTATTGATTTTTTTTTTTTTAGAATAACTACAATTTTCTCAATATTTAATTTCGGAAAATCTGTAACCACTATCGGTAAGGATTTTCTTATAGATAATTTGTGTTTATCGTATACTAGCAACATGGCCCGGCGTTGCCCGTGCCTGATTCAAAATCGTACGACTCATACAGCAATCGCTATCACTTGACTTAAAATATTTTTTGCCTTTCCTTGCCTTTTAAAGGTGTGCCCTTTGCCGTGCTGATGTTGCTACATGCCTTACCTCTTGCCTATCTCACACTGCGAATTTTTTCTAAGCTCTATACTAAACATTAAATCTGTTACGAAAAAAGAACTAAACAAAACGAACACAAAACGATCAGCTTTAAAAAAGGACTCGTAACTGGAAAAACGGAATGAAAAAAGAATGTTAACAACAAATACTTTTTCACACCAAAACCAGTTCTGCAGAATCAGAATCAACGTTCAGTTTAAGCAAACGAATGAGCCAATTGGAGTAAAGTGCCATGCAGATTTAATTTTTTCCCACTTGAGAAGAATGCAGCTATCGATTCTTTTGCATGATAGCATGTCAGTTAACATTCGTGTCATTCAGCTATTGGCTCACACGCTAGCCAATAGAATGTTCCTGCCTATTCGTGGCAGCCAGCTATTGGCTCTCAATCTGGCCAGTACAAAATGGCCGCAAACTACATAAAAACTGCCGTAGAAGCATGAAAGAATCGATTATTTCCACTATCAATGGGAGTTGGGAAATGCAATGTCGGTCTTGGCCTTAATGCTAACTTGGAGCATGTGCATGTACATTTTTGTGCAAATCCATCGAAAATTGCGACCGTGCATTCGTTACACACACGCATATCCTGCCTTTTATAGATAGAGATTTCTTGCTAAATGAGAGCTTGTTTATACGGCGTTCAACGGATGATGGGATATGCTTAATAACTGGCGTTGGTTGATTGGAATCCGGGTTTATATAAATGGGATTAGCGTTATTTTCAAGAATGATTGGAAGTTATTTAAGGTTAAGTTTAAGGTTACATCTAAGAAGTTTACTTTCTTATGTTAGAATTAATTTTAACCTTGAGGTATATAGATTTAAACACTCTGTGAATCCATTTCCTCAATTTGTCAACTTTGCTTCCGGTAGAATTATTCATTACCATCAAACCATTGTCTCTATAAATCCCTATATTATTTAGACTAATTTCATTGTGAACTGTGATATTGTATAGAATAAACAGTCCGACCAATCCAATGATTCAGCAGAATCCAGCGATCCCATCGATACATCAATGTTTTCAACAGATTTTTTTATCCATTGTTCGTTGTTGTGTATCATAATTGATTTCATTTAGGAAATAGCCATTTTGTTTGTCTTATCAAGTGAAGGTGTTGAATGTAGAATAAAGAGTTTCAAAAGGTTTAAATCTACCAAACACCACTAGAGAGGGGAAAGGCTGTTACATAAGCTCCAATGACCAATCAAAATACAAGTACATGGGAATTAAAATATCTTGACAACGAACACTTTTATAATAATTAATAACTTAATATTAGGGTTGGACTAATAGAGAAATCATTCTAATTAAAATTAATCTTTTTTACTTTATTAAATTTAATCTGTATTAACTTTAAAATATAAAAATATTTCAAGTAGAATCTTAGGAAAACATACATATATTGTGTTATTTGATTTGTTTTAAGTGAAAGGCGAAGAACTCAGAATAAACACTAAAATTTAATGTGGATCTAAAACTTCGTTACAACTTTTGAAGTGGTGATATGGGCATGGGAGGAAGAAATCTTGTAAAGAGATATATATATATATATATATATATATATATATATATATATATATATATATATGACCTAGTGAGCCAGACAAACCTACTAGGTTTCACCTAAACGGATCGTCAGGGAAAGTTTAGGTGAAACCTAAACAGGTTTGTCTGGCTCACTAGGCATCTAGGTCTGCCCTACGGTTGTATTGAGCTCTTTTTTGTTAGTTAGTTGTTACTCGTATCAGGGTTTTTTTCTTTTGGGCTTCAGACCTGCATCTGCGCGATTTTTTGTCGGCAGAAGTCCATGTTTGTAGCTCTTTCTTTTTAAAACCTTTTTTTCCCTCGAGATTGATTTGATTAGCAAATCAAAAATTCGAGGGTTTTTCGAAACGAGTCTAGTTTTCTATATATATATATATATATATATATATATATATATATATATAAATATATATATATAAAATCCTAAGGCGACAGTGGATACTTGGAGGTGAAAAATGAATATATATATATATATATATATATATATATATATATATATATATATATATATATATATATATATATATATATATATATATATATATATAATTTTGGTAATAATAAGGATATATATATATATATATATATATATATATATATATATATATATATATATATATATATATATTTATAATAATGGATATATATATATATATATATATATATATATATATATATATATACATCATTCTTGGAAATAATTAGGATATATATATATATGTGTGTGTGTGTGTGTATGTGCGTGTGTGTATGTGTGTGTGTGTTATTTCAAAAATGTATTTACCTTTAATTTCAAAATTTTTAAAATTATATATCATCAGGACCAATGCATACGAAAGACCCAATTATTAATATTATGAAAACAGTGTATATATATATATATATATATATATATATATATATATATATATATATATATATATATATATATATTACAGCGAAACATAGACTTTGATTTCCAAGCGTTACAAAATTTTAATTGCCTTCATAATACCGTAATATAGTGAAGAACTTTTGAATGAAACATGATCTCGTAAAAGGATTAATAATTTTATTTAAAGATATTGCGCAAGATATTAAACTTTCGCCAGATGCCATTAGAATCAAGAAAATTATTTTTGACCTTCTATTTTACATCTTCTTCACAAGGCTTCAGATTTTCATCAAAGATTAAGCAAAACCTTCAGGCGACATGCATATGAA